TGAGCCTTGAGGAGTAAAAACTGTTGTTATGGTCAAAAGAAATTCTTTCACATTGACTGTCGTTGGAATTTCTAATGGGTCCCGCGCGACTCAGCTTGCTGAGGTGGCGAGTATGTGACGTCAATTCTTCAAAGACCATTATTTAATTTCTTGGGGAATAATTGTTTTACAAAGTTTTTTTATTTTTATTTTTAAAAAAAAGTCGAATGTCAAAAGGAGAAGTTACAGGAAATGACAGCTCAGCCACCGAATGTAGTTAATTAAAATGTTAAAAGTTCGATAATGTCTAATACATAAAAAAAAAAAACGGTTGGATGAAAGTCTCACATCAGCTAATTTAGAGAATGATCATGAGTTTATAATAAAAAAATACTCCCTCGATTAGTATGAGCATTTTGGAGAAGCCTAAACCAAAACTATGAGAGCAGATCATACTTGTCCAAGACGTGTTGCTCATGGTTGCATGCTCATGTCATGCTAAACCCTTGTATATACTTAATTGCTAGCTTACAACATCACTTTCAAACCCTGTTACAGAAATCTCTCTACCCATGTTTTTTAAAATCCTCTTCTCAAAGTAAGGATAGAGACTCAGGTATATGTTGTCTAACAGAAGGTGATACGAATTTGAGTTAGCTAATTCACTCAGTGGTGAGAGTGAGTGTCGCACAATCACTTACGAACGTTCCTAGAAAGCGCGATTATGGACACCTTGATTCAAATTTAGTTTGGTCGGTCGTTGTCTAAGTTGATGCAAGATGGATCACTACTTACAAAAAAAAAGCCCACTAGCGTCAATGCAGGCCCAGTATGTGTGCCAATTGGGCCATTAACGAATTCACAACTGAATCATTAAAGAATTTATTTTTCTATTGTGTCGATTGATAAGATAAATGAAAAAGAAACATATTCAGAAAGAGAGAAGAAAATAAGGTTTTCGGTGTTTTCTATGTTCCTATGTTTCTGGCCGAGCACTGATCCATGGGCCTAGTTGACAAAACAAAGCCCATGGAGGCCCAAAATAATTGTCGGTTAAATATATATTTTTTTATTGTTTATATGCTCACTATTATTTATTTTAAAAAATCGAGAGAATATTTTAAAAGACAGGTTGTGACATAATTGGTAAGAAGCCGAACTCGGCTACTTTTGTGACTGAACTTAGAATGTTTGTCTGAAACGACAGAGTCCACTAACAACCTTAAATAGTTGCCTAAACAGTGCTTCTTATTCTTTCAGTGACTATTTTTTTCCCTATTAAATTTTCGAGTGCAAAAATAATTATTTAGTACTTTCTCAACCACTTATCATTATTATTTAACCAAAAAAAAATAAATAAATAACAAAAGATTCTCGACAAAGTTGATATCTTATTTTATTGTGTGAATCGTCAGTCGCGTCGTTTTATTTGATAGCGAAAGGTTCATGCACAATATACATTATTTAAAATTTTAGGTTTGATCGACTGATTTATTCCACAAATCTTATATTATTTTGTTTAATAATAGTTAAGAGATTCATGCACTGACTGAGGATAGGTGGACTTGTTTTAAAAATAATTTATACTTTTAAATTTTAAAATTTATTAATAATTATATAAATTTAAACTTGGATCATTGATCGAGGACAAAAGGTGTGGCTACGAAGCCTCTGTCTCGTTTTACCAGGCAACTAATTAAATCTCGGTTGAGCTATCAACATCAATATGAATTTGAACCAGCTTGAGTTTCATTAGACACCTCAAAATTATACACCTTTTGAATATGCAAATTTCATAAATCATTTACGGTTCTCTTTTTGGAATGTTAACCACGAAGATTGTTTTTCAACAACAAAAATTATCAATGATGGTCGAATCTCAACAAACGATTTCAATCTTCGGCCTTCTTACAATAGCTTAAGTTGAATATACAATGTTATGAAGTCCTACCGACACATTCAGTTAAACTTGTTCTGAAAACTTGGCCGAGGGTCAGTTTTCTGTGCTTTTGACAATTTCTTCTTAATGTAAATTTGGACTACTTTTACAGCTTTACATCGAACCATACAAAATAATATCTTCCATATTATGACACTTTTGAGTCACGTTGTAATCGTTGCTTCGAATAATAAATAAAATCTTCTTTTCTTTCTTAATTAAAATGGGTTTCGGGTTGCAAGCAATTAAGGAGGAGGTCCAGAATTAAAGAAAAATGGTCCCTTTGGTTAGTGAGTTCATCGTGTTGTGTCATTTTTCACATGTTCCATCAAAAAGGACTTGGACCATCCGGGGACCGACACCCACCTTGACAACGGTAGTAAAAATCCTCCAACTCGAACTGGTTTCACATTGGCAGACAAACCTAAAACTGCATGTCTTTCTTTTATGGGTGGAACGTAAGTTGATATTTCATTTATGTTTCCATGGTTTTACAGATCGTATGAATGTTGTTTTATCTGGTTTTGTTGCTTTTAACGTTTGACGAGTTTAAAACAAGGGAACAACTTTTAGTTTCATATATTTACACGTACTTTGTGAAAGTTCATTCAAAAACCCAAATTAAGGTGCAAGAAAATGTTGAGAAAAAACTTCTTAACTTCTACCACGGGAATAAACAGAAAAATAATCGAGATGTTAGAAAGAGAATTAACGTGAAAAACTCGGGCAAAAAGAAATATTCTTCAATGTGAAAAATTATTGCAATTACACATCATTCTCTTCCATGTCTCCACCGTTAATTCAACCCAAACAATAAAGGTAAAAGTTAACATCTTGAGCCAACAATAGTCTCCGAGAAGCTATCTAAAAACGTCTAGATTCAACCCAAACAATAAAAGAGAGCCTCAACTTGAAAGGAAAACGGTAAGACGCTTCTTAGCAACATTTCAACCTAGAAGAGTCACGTATTGTGGACAAAGCAAGCAACAGTTCAATACGAGTTCAAAGCGTTGAGACCGTTTTATATGAAACATCCATGCTCATACGATTATAACGTTCTTTAACTTACAATCTTACGTTCATTCGAGGTGATTTAAAGTTAGAAATGAGACTTCAACGGACATCGAGAATTTGACATTTTTATATGTAGTTTTTGTTGGGATTGGTTTAGTAGCCTTTTAACTCTTATGAAAATAATAACAAAGATTAGAAACCGTGAAAATTAATATCAATTCATTCACTAAAAGTATCTTTTAGATGTCTCTAATGTGACGTTTTAACTACTTTAAAATGGCCGGTTAACGTAATAAAAACGACAATAAATTTAACTATTTTGTTTATTTATTTAGCTAGATTAAATTTTAATATAAAGTATTTTTTTAATTAGTTTGAATTTTTATTATTATGCAATTTGTATGCATTTTCCAATTTAATATATAAAAAAATAATGATGGGTGGCATTTTTTTTCAAATTTGTCCCAATTCTTCTGAAATTTTCAATACCTAATTTATTTTATTTTATTTTATTTTATTTTATTTTATTTAATGAAGTCCATACATTATAAAACATTTAAAACATGTTGTGAAAATATAAAATATATTAAAATATATTTTTATTTTTCGGAGTGGATATGTATAACCCCATTCCACGACTAGAAAATTTGTCACAAATCGAGAATATTTACGTATGAATTAATCCACCTAAAAAATTACTTTAAAAAATTCAAAATTTTGAAATTTAATTCTAGATCCAATTTAATAGTTAATATTATAAATATTAACCGACAATTCGTTGAAATTTTCACCTATAATTTTACGAATTTAAATATTAAATATGATAATCGACTTTATTTTAAGTTAAATTAGACGTATAAACTTAATTAGTTGAAAATATAAAATAAATAATAAAGTAGGATGGAAGTGGGGCTTGACAATGTGCTGGGTAAATGCTTGGTCACGTGTTTTATTACTTGTCTGGCCAATATTTGGCACGTGTTGGAAGACTGCCCCAGTCTCCTTGATGTCGGCCAAACTTAATCCTTCTTTTTTATTTATTTATTTAGATTTCTACTTATTTTCTGCTATTATTAAGCACCACTCCATCAACCTTTTTAGATCTCGATTTTATTAAAATTCCTTAATAATTTAAAGTAAAAAAAAAGATATAATAATTTAAAGTATTTCTTAAAATAGTAAATTTAACAAGTGGGTAAGGAAAAAAACAAAACAAACGAGGAGTTATAATAATGATTATAATAAAAGTAACTAATTACAAGCCGACATGTCGAAAAGGTAGACAAAAAACTAAAGTTGCCTCCGAACTGACCCCACTTGAAACGACACTACAAACATTAAACGTTTCCTCTCCCTGCCATCCGCTTACAAACAAAAATAAACGGTCGCCCTTTTATTGTCGGGTTTCGTCGGATCATTTTCACCAGCTCCGAGTCCGAGTCCGAGTCCGACCCGGATATACTAAATTAAATCATTTAAGTGATATTTTATTATTTTATTTAATTTAAGAAAATGTTAATTAGAAATAAAATATTATTTTTTTAAAGGACGAGATAGAAGAAGCCAAATCGGAATAAATGTGTGTGTGTGTGTTTTTTTTTTTTTAATTTAGTTTGAAGTAAAGCAAAAATTTCACGGCGCCGAAATGAGCTAATAGACACAATAATATATATATATTATTTATTTTTTTAATTATTAATTTTCATTTTCATCACGTGTCCTGCTTTTTTCTTTTTTCTTTTTTCTTTTTTTTAAATTTATTTCCCTATAAATACTTGAAGTAACGAAGAGACTTTAAAATCCACAAGAGATATTATAAGAAAATGAGCTGCCTTGGGAGTTGGCCGGAGCCGGTGGTGTGTGTGCAGTCGCTGGCGGAGAGTGGAATACGGACGATTCCAGTGAGGTACGTGAAGCCACCGTCACAGAGGCCGAGTGGCGCCGCCGTGGAGAGAAATGTTCCGAGGAATATTCCGGTGGTGGACATGGAAAAGCTGCAGAGTGCGGCGGAGGTGAAGGCGATGGCGGAAGCTTGTAAAGAGTGGGGATTTTTTCATGTAATAAACCATGGAATCAACGGTGAGATGATGGAGTGTTTGAAGGATAAGTGGACGCAGTTTTTTCATCAGCCGTTGGATTTGAAGAGACAATATGCCAATTCGCCGACCACTTATGAAGGATATGGCAGCCGGTTGGGGATTGAAAAGGCGGCGATTTTGGATTGGAGTGATTACTTTTTCATTAATTATTTGCCTGTTTCCCTCAGAAACACAGCCAAGTGGCCTGCTTTTCCTCCATCCAAGTACGTTTTTACTCATTCTTCTAGTTTTAAGACACTAAAAATGCACCGGTCGGAATGTTGGTGAGAGCTCTACCGATCGATTCGATATCGATCGGTAAATGAGCTCGTACTACCTCTTTGGTGAAACATGTTATCTATTATAAATGGTGTTTAGTTTCCTAAAGAGAAAAATGAATAATTTGTATTATTATTATTTGGGTTCGTACATCTTGTAATGTGATGTCCCACATTGATTGGAGAGTGGAAAACTTCTCCTATCAGACATGTTTTAAAGCCTTGAGGGGAATCCTGAAAGAGAAAGTCCAAAGAGGACAATATCTGCTGCTAACGGTAGATCTTGGTCATTACAAATGGTATTAGAGCCAGACACCAGATGATGTGTCAGCCTTCTGGATGTTCCCTGAAGGGGAGTAGACATGAGGCGATGTGCCAGTAAGGGCTCTGGGCCCCAAAGGGGTGGATTTGGTGGTAGTCCCACATCGATTGGAGAAAGGAATGAGTGCCAGCAAGGACGCTGGGTCCCGAAGGGGGTAGATTGTGATGTCCCACGTTGGTTAGGGAGTTGAAACTTTCCCCTAGCAGACGCATTTTAAAGCCTTGAGTGGAATCTCCAGAGGGGGAAAGCCCAAAAAGAACAATATATGCTAGCGGTAGGCTTAGGTTGTTGCATGTAATTGCATCGTTTCAATTTGACCAACTTTGTGGTCAAACAAACTCAAAATTTATCACACTTTATCTGGTCTTTTTCCAATGTTCTTCGATCCACCTTGTTATGTTTTTATAAACATTTTCTTCTAGACCAATTTAAACATAGCTCAATTGATTAAATTTTGACAGAAACAACACAAATTCAAATTTTCGTATTTTTATTGTCTGATGTGATGAATGATTAACATGCGGAAGACAAACTCGATACGTTTACGACGTTTTAGGGCTTTATTTGTGTACAGGGAATTGATAGAAGAATACGGAAAGGAGATGGTGAAGCTATGTGAGAAAGTGATGAAGGGATTATCTATGGGATTAGGGCTTGAAGAAGAGTACTTGTTAAAGGCATTTGGAGGAGAAGAAGGAATAGGAGCTTGCATGAGGGCCAATATGTATCCAAAGTGCCCTCAACCTGACCTGACTTTAGGCCTTTCGCCTCACTCCGACCCGGGCGGCATCACCATTCTTTTGCCTGACCACAACGTCCCTGGCCTCCAAGTTCGTAAAGGAGACGATTGGATCACTATCGACCCTATCCCTAATGCTTTGATTGTAAACGTTGCCGATCAAATTCAGGTTTGAATCTTTCTTTACTCAGGCTCGTAACATTGTATCTAGAAACGTTCATTATGTTACTCGTAAAAAAGAGTAATGGTTGTATGTTATTAGGTGTTGAGCAACGGGATATACAAAAGTGTGAATCATAGAGTGATCGTGAATTCAAACAAGGATCGAGTGTCATTGGCGTTCTTCTACAACCCGAGAAGTGATTTGATAATTGAACCAGCTAAAGTGCTTGTGACTGAAGAAAGGCCAGCCCTTTTTCCACCTATGACCTTTGATGAATATAGACTTCAAATTAGGAGGAGGGGTATTTGTGGAACTTCACAACAAGAACAGTCTATTTAATCCACTTAATTATAATTAGTAAAATGTTAATTAATGCTTGTAGTTGTGTTAATTATAAGTTAATGTCCAAGTTTTTTTTTTTTTTTTTTTTTTTGGTTCTAAACCCGTTTGAATCGTGTGTGTGGTCTCAAATGTATCAATTTACCGCTGTCAATCTTAGAATCTATTCCCCGTTTGTGTTGATGTGCAATAATCTTAAATATCACTTTGGACGTAGAAATGACTAAAATGATAGATTATCGTAAATTTGATAGAAAGAAGCGTAAAATTTCAATATCTTAGGTCAATTTGATAACGATTTTATTCTTATCTTATATTCAGTAGCGATTTTGTTCTTATCTTCTTAGTATCGTTTGACAAAAAGATTGATGAAATAGTTAAATTCTAGCCGTCTATTCGATACGAATTTTGACAAAAAGGACGAGTGGGTGTTTATAAATTTTCTTTTAAAGAAAAATAAACAAAAAATTAAATAGTTATCGAACAAAATCTTAATTTTCAAAATTAGATTAAAACGCAATAATCTTACCATTTTAAAACCTGTGTTTCCTCACTCTTATAACTAATGATTTGTTTCTCTATCGGGATGAGTTTCCATACCTTTATGAGAAATGTTCCGTTCCCTTCTTAACATGGTGTGCTAGCGAGGACGATGGGCCCCAAGGAGGTAGATTGTGAGATCCCACATTGGTTGAAGAATGGAACGAAACATTTCTTATTAGGGTGTGAAAACATCTTCCTAGTAGACGCGTTTTAAAAACTATGAGACTACTGTTGATATATAACGGGCTAAAGTGGATAATATCAATACACAGTAGAGATGATAATATTTATAATGATTAAATATAAAAGTAGCATTACTAAATACTCCAATATTGTATTATTTAAAAAAAAATCATTAAAAAAACAAAAAAAAAAAAAAGTTATTAATTTATCAATCTTGGTAGAATTCATGGTTTGAGTTCCTCCCACGTGGTGTGCAGTCAAAACGCACGTTTTAAATGCAAAATCTCCCAATTTTTGAAGCCACAAAATTCATCTATAGCTAACCTAAATTGATGTGGTTGAAATCTCAAAAATAAAATAAAAATTGACATAGTCCATTTCACCCATCTTTTTCCGCAACATTCCAAATTTTGTGACATTTAAGATTATATATTTCAACTTTGTTATATCATTTATATATATTGAAAAAAAAAAAGTTCCTAAGTCTACAAATGTGATTTAATAATTATTCAGCTGCAATGTGATTATTTAAATATTTGACTTCTAATTTATGTATTCTATTAATAAAACAAGAAATTGTTTTCTTTTTATTTTATCTATGATCGAGTATTTGGGCTTCATGAAGTGGGCCACCAGGAAGCCCAACTAAGCCCAGCGGAATGGGCTTCCATTATAACAGTTTTGGATATTGAATTAATTAAAATATTTGGGGTTGATGAAATTGGGCTCACCAACCAGCGTAGAAGCCCAACTCGTTTCTATCGCTTGGACTCAATTTAGAAAAGATGGGCTCAATGAAATTGGGCTCACCAACAAGCGTAGAAGCCCAACTCGTTTCTGTCCCTTGGACTCCATTTAGAAAAGATGGGCTCGATGAAAGTGGGCTCACCAACCAGCATAGAAGCCCAACTCGTTTCAGCCTTTGGACTCAATTTAGAAAAGATGGGCTCGATGAAATTGGGCGCACCAACCAGCGTAGAAGCCCAACTCGTTTCTATCCCTTGGACTCAATTTAGAAAAATTGGGCTTGATGAAATTGGTTTAAGTGAGCCCATAAGTTGCCCTGCCCACGAGGGAGTTTGAAATAAATGAAGATAACATAGGAACATGCTTCTGTGACAATTAGAAATACAAGTAGAAGAATGGATCTTCAAGTTCCAAGACTCATATGGGATAGGGTTGAGATAGTCATTCTAAGATAACTACAAATTCATACATACATAAAGGAAAAATTGATACAACGCTTCATCAGTCACTCGAATCATTCAGCAATTGCGCTTTTGGGGGCTTCGTCTGCCTCTACGTTACTACTGCCTGCATTTCTTCATGCAGCAAAATGAACATTTGTATCGTTGGATACAATCAGCCTTAGCAGGTGTTATGTTTACGCACTTTCCATGGTACCACCTTTCGCATATGTCACAGCCAATCCAGAACTCATCTGTACTGTTTTCACCACAGCTACCACAGAGGGTTTTGCTATGTTCGTCGACATCCTCCTCGATACTCTGTTTGGCAAGTTTAGGATGGCTTTTCACCTGCCCATCATTAGATCTCTAGAATAGAGAAGTATCAAGTTATTAGGTACTCAGAAGCTTAAAACAATTTGTTCAACTGCTTCAAGTTCTTTAAGAAGACATGACATTGATATGTCAAGTTAAATCTCTTTTATGTGATCAGAAGTTCTTTTCCCCAAAAAAAACCGATAACAGACGAGGATTACATCCTTCAATCCCATCCGGAGAATTCATTGCACTGAACCCCATGAGAGAATTATGCACAAAAAGTTCAGTATGAGTTATTAAAAAAACATGATCAACAACATTAACCTTAGCGCTTCCTTGTGATCTGCTTCCACTATCTACACTAGGTTTCTCTTTGACAGGCTTCCATTCTGTCACAACTTCAAAGACAGTGGGAAGATCATTCATCAAGCTAAATAAACGCTTTCTGTCATTATATGATGAGTAAGACGAAAGGAGTTAGTGCATGATTTTGCAGAACATAACATCATTACATAATCACATAAAACAAACAGTTAAGTAGCTCTTCAACTTCCACAATTATTCATGCAGTAACATAGTTAATAAAGGAGAAAACCAAAGAAATTAGTGTGGTTGATAAAAAAATTGCTCAAGTATTCTGCCATAAACCTATAACCTATTTGTTGCAGAAGAATAATCCCAGAAGAAACATTAAAGAAAGTAAATTGAAATGAGTCTTAGAAGTTCACAAACATCATTGACAAATGCAGGATTCAAAATATATCATTGAGCAGACCCTGACCTATAATCTGCAAGCAAAAAATCAGAAGAATAGAGTTTACCTTTCGTTTTGCTTAAGCCTTGATCCAAGATAGAAAGCCACCGAGAGCAACCAGGAATCACTATGTACAGCCACTAGAGACAGCCAATCTTTTCTGTTCATGCCATCCCTTGCAAAATTGATTCCAAGTGCAGGCTCAGGAAGCTCCGGTGGAACCTCTTCGACTGGAAGAACCACTTCCCATGTTTCATTGGGATGTCCATACAGACACAAATTTTCCTTACCTGAACAAAATCAAGGTGAAAAATATATGAGGCGTCATATATTGATAGTAAATTCCTGCTTTCAGAGAAGAACTTAATATCAGACAGTGTGAGACTTTGCATACCTAGACAAGAGCATAAATCAAAAAATTATAACATGCATCAGTCACTGGCTAATTAAGATACCATAAGTGTACGGAAAAAGGAACATTTCCAGGATCTCAACGCAAGATCAAGATCACAAAAATTAAGTTTCGAATTCGTGGAACAAGCATCCAATCTGAAGCAATTGCCGATACTACGTCATTAAACCAGATTAAGAAATATTTTCTCAATTCATTATACATCAAAGGCTCGTTAAATTCACCAGCAGCAAGAAAATGAACATTTAGAGAAATAATAAACTTCGTAAGGAAATCAAATGCAAACAATTACGCATCACCTGGATCACAAAGGCCGTAAAATTCATCCACATCTGACAACAACAACAACAAAAGAAAATGAAAATCAGTGATCTCCGAGGGAAAAAAGAAATAAGCAAACAAGAGAAGTTAGAGAGAGAGAGAGGAGACAATACCGTGAGCGAGGGCGCGAACAAGAGCGGCACGGCGACCGGCATAATCTTTGAAAATTTCCTCGACGGTTTTGGGAGTGGTGGATGGCATTTCCATGGCGGAAAGGAGATCTGAGATGAGCGAACGAAATCGGAAGTCACATGAAGAAATGGAAATTTGGAGAAGGATTGGGAATGAATGGAGGAAGGATTAATGCATGAGTTTGGGCAAGAAGAGAGCGTAAGCGGCAGAGATCCATGTAAACGTCAGCACCCGCGAGACACAGAAGAACCGGAGGTTGGATTGTAAATTGACGATAACCAATATTTCACTATTGCCACTCCAAATTTTCACTTCCCGACCACTCTTTTTCCTCTTCTTTTTTTCTTTTTAAAGATGAACTCCAATTAACCATTTTTTAAATTTTAGAAAAATTAAAATTTAATTTTATTATTTATTAATTTAGAACAGATGAATGATTATGGAATGACCAAAGTAACAATGGGCCTGTTTGACTCCGGCCCAAATTTCAAAAAGTTCTTCGGCCCATTTTCTAGTCCATTGCAATGGGAGTGTCATGGGCCTGGCCCAAATCATCGTCCATTATGGGCCAAAGAGGTGCTAATTTCCCGTGACTAAATTTAATAACCATTTAGCTGCATTAAATTGTGATTGGATAAAGGGTCAACTAACTTTAATATTATTCAAATAGCCGATAATGTATTATGGATGAATTTGAGATAATTTATTTGACCAAAATATTATTAAAACGTCATTAATAAAATTACAATAATATCCTAAATTTAAAAAAAGTAAAAAAAAAAAATATATTTTTTTTTTGAACAAAATACAAATTTTAAAGATATTTTTATTAATTTAAACGACTAAATAAATATAAAATAAGTTAATTAATCTATTTTCAGAGTAACTAAAAAATTAATTAAACTAAAATATCCTTCCCTAATAAATGCAACAAAATATGAGCAGTTGTAACATTTAAAATAAAAAGCTGAGTAGATAATGGTTTGGAATAATCAAAGAAAACAAAAATAATAATAATAAATAAATAAAGAAAACAAGAGACATTAACCTTTAAATGGGGTCACGGTGACCATTAAGAACAGCTTGACGGCGACGTGTAGGGGGCTAAGTTCACGAACCACCAAAAATAATTTTAAAATATTATTTATTTATCAATGAATTGGAATAAATCACACTGTTATTTGGCTACGATAATTATTATTAATTAATTTGTTATTATTATTATTATTATTTAAAAGGAAAAAGAAGAGTAAAGGAAGCAGTCCTTCAAGCCGAGCCAGGGCGGCAAAAAGCCACCTGCCATCACCGCCACAATTCCGTCGGCCACAGAATTTTCCAATTGCGTCATGGCGTTTTCAATTCTTGTTTATTGTTGAAAATGATTGAGAGAGAGAGAAGCCGAGTCGCGTTTTCTTTCTGAAGCATCGAGTCAGTTTTTGGGGATCTCTCTGTATCTGCGATTCGTTGTGGATATGGCGCAGATTGGTCAAGCCGAGGTCTGTGTGCCGAGGTCTTTGCAAGTATGGCAAGCTTTGATCGATTGGCTCTCTTTCTTTGTTCATATAATTGCTCAGATCGTGCGTGGTGCTCCTTCTTGGGCTCAGATTTTGTCCTATGTCGGTGTTAGATTGCCGCTTCTTGCCTCGTCTGCTCCCTCTTTTAAGCCCTTGCCGATTGCTGAGATTCCTCTCCATCAGCTTTCAGCTAAGAAACTTAGCCCTCCCACTGATGGGGATGACGGTGGAAGTCGAGATTGCTCGCTGGAAAAGATTACGGTAATGTTCGTTTCGTCTTCTTCTTTCTTTGTATGTTTTTGAAGAAAATGTAAGGCTAAAATGATGATTGGCGACATTGTGAAATCATTAGACACTACAAACTGCCTCCATCTCTGCTTGCGATTTACTGATTTGAGTATTTTCCATTTGTATTTTGAAACCTATTATTACGATGTCGAGATAAACTAAGTTTGCTGTGATGTTTATGCATTTGTCATGTTGTGATTCCAATACTTCATTTGCTCTCTCAGGTTGTTCTTGATTTGGATGAAACCTTGGTTTGTGCATATGAAACATCCAGTTTGCCAGCCGTTTTTCGCACTCAGGCAACAGAAGCTGGCTTGGATTGGTTTCAGCTAGAATGTGTGTCCTCGGACAAGGTACCTCCCATGGATTCCTCTTTCTAAACTCTACTTGAAAATTTTGTTCTGTTGATTAATTTTGGTAGCTGTATTGAAGGAATATGAAGGAAAGCCAAAGATCAGTCATGTGACTGTATTTGAACGTCCTGGATTGCACGAGTTCTTGAGTCAGGCTGCTGAATTTGCTGAACTCATTTTATTCACTGCTGGTCTTGAAGGTTTGGCATTGATTAATCAATATCTTTTGTAACTTTCCTCCCATTTCTATATGTCATTTGTGCTCCGATGTACAGGATATGCTAGACCACTGGTCGACCGAATCGATTCAGAGGGAAGATTTAGCCTTCGACTTTATCGACCATCCACAGTTAGCACGTAAGTAATTTACCTCTAACCGAGTTCAGAATCTGAGATTGTTCTTGACTGGGGTACAACTCAATTAAGCAAGCTTTTCCTTCCATGAGAGATTTTGTGTTCTAAGCTTTTGCTTTAAATTATCAGGCTGTTGAAACGAACTACAAAATTAGATTTCTTAAAGATGTTTCTTTAAATTGCAGAGAATACAGAGAACACGTAAAAGATCTATCGTGTTTACGAAGAGATCTCTCCCGAGTTGTTATAATCGATAACAACCCATTTAGTTTCTTACTGCAACCATTGAATGGAATCCCATGCCTTCCATTCTCTCCTGCACAGCCTTCTGATAATCAGGTAGAAACTTCTCTTATGATAATGGCTTCGATCCATTCCATTATTAGATACTCACTTGCCCATTCTTCTGTGATGTGCATTCTTCAGCTTTTAGACGTCCTCCTCCCGCTCCTCAAACACCTCGCCCTGGAAAAAGACGTCCGACCCGTTCTATACGAAAAATTTCACATGCCTGAATGGTTTCAGATCCATGGAATTCCTTAGCATGAGAAAATTACAATACAGATAGTATCCAAGCATGCTGAGTGGAGAGCATGCTATGAAATCAATCTCCACATTCTTTCCATTTAGAGCTTAGGTGATGGAGTAAGAAGAAATTCATGAGATATGTCCACAATGTATGTTGTTTCCACCTTAGGTTAATGTATTCTATTGTTTCATCAAGACTGCAAATCATTTAAAGAGTTGTACTCTTAAATTTAAATTCTTTTATATCATTACCCCTTAGAACAGTCTTTCAAGAGGAAATCCAACGTTTTTGTAGAATTTTGTTGCTTCTCAGGGGTCACCGACTGGCGACCAGCATAGTTTGTCCGAGTGCAAGCCTTCAGTTATAGCTTCAAAATTACGTCGTCTGCAAATTGAATGCTGCTATACTCCTCTTTACTTCATAGTAGTTAATGTAGTTTAACATTATTTGGCAGCACTTCAGTGTCATAGCCACTTGGTCTTGTTTATTGGTATGTGCACTTAAAAGGAAGAACTGGTAGCGAGGACTTGTTTTGAGGAGCAACAGAGAGGGAGAAGCCGCCATTTGTGATTGGATAAGTTCAGACTTGGGGAAGCTAATCAAGCAATGGCGATGCAGCTCAGCCATGTGTATTACGGTACACCCACAACCCGACGACCAACACTGCCGCTCACTGGCTGGAGAACCACCGTATCTTAGGTTAGAGCTGTCGCAGGAAATGATCAGGAGCTTCTCAAATCCGACAAGGTTCAGGCAAGTAGGCCAAAGGAGACATTGACGGCCATGGATTTCGAGGGTAGGGGTATGTGAGTTGGAGAATGCTAGAGTAGAGTTAGAGGGTAGGGGCATGTGTAGCTGTTTCGTGTTGGACGAGGATCAATTGTGTAATCGCCCAAATCCACTAGTAGATATTCTCTGCTTATAACCGTCAGCCTGGCTTTAAAACCTGTATAGAAGAGGTTTTGAACTTTGAAATGTGTACATTTTGGATACATTGGATTGGACTGACTGGCTTTTCTTTTTGTACCAATAAATAGACATGAGGCAGCTATAAATTGATTTTTAGGCTAATTTTAAACACAAAATGGTGGATTCTTCACCTCCACGGTTCTATGTTTTCAGCTGTTCTTTGTATGCTCGGCCCTTTGATCGCAATGTCCAAGCTAAACATAGAAAGATACTGGAACATGGGGTGGTTGGCCGGAAGCTTCAATTGCTCCGTCGACGGCGACTTTCCGGCCATGGAAGGGCCAGAGAAACTACAATACACAACAGGCGGAGGAGTTTCTTACTACTTCCTCCAATTGCTTAGCCTCTTGCAAGCCGTGGGTGAAAACGACTGAGACCATCCATTCAGTTTTTTGATTGGTTTTCTATGATTTCTTGATTACATTGTTCTTAATCGAAGGTGTGAAAAATCCATCAGAAATGAAATACAGAGGATTATGAAGTAGGATGTTCGAGAAGGAATTAAAGAGGGGATTTATAAGCAATTCAATACAAACAGTGAAACAGGACATCAAAATTCCTTATAGCTAGCTATATGTTTAGACGTGAATTGCTAGAAACCTATATGTTCTTAGATCCAGAAAAGGATTTGGGATCGTCATACCCAAATGCCGGAGAAGACAGTCTACTCCGATCTATTCGCGAACCTTTCGACCTTATCGGTCATGTTCAATCCGACCATTGCCTCGCCAAGCCCACAGCTCACTTCCGCCAGCACCTCCGGATCGTTGTAATGAGTAACAGCCTGCACAATCGCTCTGGCGCGCTTCGCCGGGTCGCCACTCTTGAACACACCGGAGCCGACGAACACGCCGTCGCAACCGAGCTGCATCATCAGCGCCGCATCGGCCGGTGTTGCTACACCACCGGCGGCGAAGTGAACCACCGGGAGCCTCCCGAGCTGCTTAGTTTGCAGAACTAAATCGTAAGGCGCAGCGATCTTCTTGGCGAAGGTGAAGACCTCATCGTCGTCCATGTTCCTCAACAACCTAATATCTCCCATCACGGACCGCACGTGCCGCACCGCCTCAATGATATTACCGGTGCCGGCTTCGCCCTTAGTCCTGATCATCGCCGCCCCTTCGCGAATGCGTCGCAGCGCCTCACCGAGATTACGGCAGCCACAGACGAACGGAATGCGGAAATTGTGCTTGTTGATGTGGTTTTCTTCATCAGCGAGAGTAAGAACCTCGCTCTCGTCTACATAATCAATACCAATGGCCTCAAGAATCTGAGCTTCAACGAAATGGCCAATTCGAGCCTTCGCCATGACCGGAATCGTGACAGCCTGTTTGATTTCCTTGATTAGTTGAGGGTCGCTCATTCTAGCGACACCGCCCTGGGCTCGTATGTCCGCAGGAACTCGTTCAAGGGCCATGACGGCGCACGCTCCAGCCTCCTCAGCGACACGAGCTTGCTCCGCGTTCACAACGTCCATGATTACGCCGCCACGAAGCATTTGAGCCAATCCAACTTTCACAGAGAAGGGGGATTGCTTCGTCTCAGTCAGAGCTCCATTTCCGTACACCGCTACAACGCCGGATCCTGCCATTTTCGCCGGCCAATAACGCTACAGTAAAAAGGCGGTGAGGGAGGATTCAGCCGCAATGAAAAGGCCGTGGAAGAAGAAGAAGAAATGAAGGCCGAGAGATTAAGGTAGAGAAGGGTTCTTTAAGTAGTGGCTGTTCTCGAATGATCTTATCGAGAACGAGACGCGTCGATTCACGTCAAGCCTAAGCGCGTGGCATTACATAGAAATGGGGCCCACAGAATCGTCGATCTTCGAGAAAAAGTATACAAATCCAACGGCTGTCAATAAGAGATCAGGAAGCGTAGCGTGGACGTGCGTTCCATAATCATCAATGCCTATTAAAGCCACGCATTTTGATGTCTGAAGAAGCCCTCGTTTTGCGCACCAAGAACTCGATACGTGGAAACCGGTGGTTCGTTGGGGTCATTTTCGTCTTCTTAACCTTTTTCTTTTTCTTTTTCAATTTTATTTTAATAAATTTAAATTGATTAATACATCAATTTTTAGAAGAATAATATTTATTTATTTCTAATTGTTTCGTTTATTTAATTATTTAATTATTTTTGTATTTTATTTATTAAAATTTTGTATAATTGTGTCAAACATAGTCAAATTAAGAATCAATTAGTCAACTCATAATTATCAAACAAACTAAAAATAAATAAAATAGGCAAATTGTTTCTAAAATGAGTGGTTAATCGATTATGGATGGGCTCAAATGGGCCCTTTGATCACAGCGCCCACTTTAAAATTCATATGGACCATGGCCTTACGGTCTATCTCATCATAGTGCCCACTACTTGTACACTTTTTTTTCAACTCAATTAGGGTAATAATTGTTTTGCTAACGTATATCTCTTTACGATTCAATTCAATCCGATCCTAAATTTAAATTTTGGTTGTTATTATTTCATATTTGATCTTTACAAACGTCATAGCCACTAGCATATCATACTCATCATGACTGTATATCGTTTGATTTTTTTTGGTTTAAATATAGTTTTTCTTTTTCTTTAGGTATAAAAAATTGTTCACACTCATTCAAATATATATTCAAAGTAGACTACGATTGCTTATTAAAAACGTTAATATTTGTTTATTTTTATTTATTTTAATATTGTCATTATAAGCGATAAATGGTGTTTGAAAATTGAAACTTACAAGAAACTTCCTTTCCAAGACCTACCTCATGCTATATGTATATTATAAATTTTCGTCTTTAATAAATTTATAATTAACTTACAAAATACTATGCAGAAAATAAATATTTTTTTAACAAAAATGGTTAATTGGGGTGGTCAGAGGATTGAATTTCTATATTTAAAAAAAATAAAATTAAAAAAATTATAGTATAATTAAATATTGGAAAAATAGGTAGAAGAAAAGGAAAGGTAAACGCATTCCATTTGCGATATATTCTCAACTTTTTGAGAGGAATTCCATTTCACAGAGTCTTTGGATTTAGTAGACACATGGATTTCGAACAAGAAACGCCGATCTTGCAAAACGGCGCCGTCAAGAGTTCGCTGATCGGTCGGACGGCTCACAACATGTCGTCGTCATCGCTGCGGAGAAAGTCCGATTTGACCCTCGTTTCCAAGGTTCGTTTCGGTTGTCTTAGGCTGTTGCTTGTGAATCTTCAAGAGGTCATTTTGGGAACGAAGATTTGGTTTCTTTTTCCGGCGATTCCGTTGGCTGTGTTGGCCGACTCTCTTGGCTTCGGACGAGTAAGTGAAAACTATTTCAATTTTATTTAAAAAATAAATAAAACCAAAATTTTTAAAATTAAAATAGAAATAGTTTTTAAATTTTAGATAAAATAAATTAATTAAAAATAATAATCTCTTAAAAAAGTTTAATGGAATTACAGGCGTGGGTTTTCGTTCTGAGCCTATTGGGGCTTGCTCCACTTGCGGAACGCCTGAGCTTTCTGACGGAGTAAGCCTGAAACGACGTCGTTTTCATTCTGGAATTTTCAATATTATTTTTCAACCATTTAACTTAAATTAATATTCTTTATTCATATATTTGCAGACAAATCTCATATTTCACCGGCCCCACAAGTAATTTTCTTCCCTTTTATTTATTTATTTATTATTTTTTTATTTTTTAGACATGGTTCGATCAACTATAATCATGTCTGTTTATACTTAGTTGGTGGGTTATTAAATGCGACATGTGGCAATGCGACGGAGCTAATTATAGCAATATTTGCACTTAGCAAGGATAAAATCGAGTTGGTGAAGTACTCTCTTTTGGGATCGGTTCTATCAAACCTTCTGCTCGTTCTTGGAACCTCGCTTTTCATCGGTGGCATCGTCAACCTTAAAAGACAACAAACCTATGACCAAGTAAACGATTAGTTCTTGGCTTCTTAGTTGAAGATATATGTTTTAATCGTACGTTATAAAATTTTGTAACATTTTTTTATAGAGACAAGCTGAGGTCAATTCACACATGTTGTTGTTGGCGCTTGTATGTCATTTGCTTCCAATGTTGTTCCCTTATGTCAGAGGGTCTACTGATGTGGTTGTAGCTGAAGCACTGCGATTGTCTAGAGCAAGTAGTATAGTAATGTTGGTGGCTTATGTAGCTTACTTGATCTTTCAACTATGGACTCACTGTGAATTTTTTGAACCCGATAAGGTATCGTTAAATTAAATTTAAGTTATACAACAAATTTGGAGGCTGTTTTCATTATGTGACCTAGGTCTAAAATACAGAGATATCATTGAAACATGACTCGAGTTTTTTTTTTTTTTTATAATTATTTTTGTTAATAACGATCTTTATTAGGAACTAGAGGTATACAACGACGACGTTGTGCAAGAAGCACCAACGATTGGAATATGGAGCATAGTGGCTTGGTTGGGAGGCGTTACTATTCTCATTGCTTTGTTGTCGGAGTACGTGGTGGCTACAATTGAGGTAATAGAAGTTTTGTTCGATAACTATTTCCTCCCTAAATTTTTAATATTTCGCTTAATTTTTGAAATTAACATAGTTGAAAAATTAGGACGTTTCGGAAAGTTGGGGGCTATCGGTTGCATTCCTTAGCATGATATTACTACCACTGGTTGGAAATGCAGCCGAGCACGCAGGAGCTCTCATATTTGCTTATAAGAACAAGTTGGTATGTCCTTAATATAATTAATTAATTTCCTTAATCATATTATTATTATTATTATTATTATATTTTTTTTAATGGTAAAATGCAGGATATAACTTTAGGTGTTGCTTTAGGATCTGCAACTCAAATAGCAATGTTTGTGGTAAGAAATTTGGGTTCATTTTGTCACGCTATTAATATTATTATATTCTTTAAAATGCTCTAATTTAATTTTTATATTTTTAATAAAACATAAAAATTAATTATTCTTAATTTTCAGGTTCCGTTATGCGTAATTGTC